TGCTTTCACACAGTTTAAAAAATCCATTATTAGGTCAAGCCAAAGATTAACTGCCCTAAATTAAAACGGCATTTGTTGAATTCTGCCTCAGGATAAGCAAGAGAATAAACCTAAGCTTCATTTATAATTTAAAATGGAATTATTGAATAAATGTTGAAAAAGTGACATGGCTTGATAGGATGTGAAGAGGCATTTGAATCGAAAAATATTTAGCTGCCTTCAAATCCATTTTTGATGTGCATTTAAGGTGTGGACAACATGAAGAACATGACAAAGAAAGATTAAAATAGGTGAAAAAAGAAAAATCCAGTATATTAACTTCTTGTTAGTTTGGAAATTTTGAGTTTTTAAATCAAACCATCATTATATCACTTTGCCTTTTCCATGTAGAAGTATCACTATCTATGTGATTTGATTATATTTTTAGGCTAATGAAGCAATTTTTAATGTTTAAAAAATATATTATTACATATTTTTCAACAGGGACTTTTGGGATAAGATAACAAAACATTCAACATGATTAACAAAGGCACTTGAGACAGACCAAAATCTTTGCTAACATATTTGAATGTCTGTGTATAACATTTTTAGATTTGCATACTGTAATATAGCAAGTTTTCAATTTTTAAAAACTTAACATTTTTCAGCTGATATCTTCAATGTAGAAGAAAGCTATTGCACTACACTGACATTGACATTGGAGTCAGCACAAACACAAGTATATACATATGTACACTCTTGCTGAATGTCAAGTGATCTGTTTTCCTAGGCAGCAATTTGGAGTGAGTTTCATAGCACCTACCCCTAGAAGAGATGGCCAAGGGGGCTAACTTGGCACATATACATTAGTTGTACATTCTTAGTTAAGTTTTTGTGTTAAGATCAGGTTTTTTGCACATTGTATAAATACTGAACATTATATCAGGAATCAAGACTTAGAGAGAATGTATCCTTATTTTAAATCTAGGTCACTGTGACCTATATTTCATGCTTCATTGACTTAAATTTTTTATTTTAATTTTATTTTGCAAGCTCCTATACCCTTAAAACCAAAGTAGGTTAATGTGACCTTCATTTTATGCTTTACTAATATTTGTGTTTATGATGACATTGATACATCCATGCTAGCTCTATATACATCCTAGATTACTTTGAAGGCATTGTATGACAAATATGTTTATTCAGTGGGAAATGTTATTGTATATTGTGAAATGTTACTTTCAGCAGGTTAACTGTGTATTGTTCATGTGAATTATGTGAGAAGTCTGCATGCTGAGTACTTTTTATGTGAAGCCTTGCCTATAGAAGTTAATCAAGGTATTAATGCATGAACTATGTTATGCTGGATGTCACTCCAAACTTACTCAAAGCCTATGACTTTCACCCAGTTAAATCTAGCTTCTGAGGGAGATAATATATTGTGAAGCACATTTTAGAAACAATAATTTTTTTATAAAATATAAGGCAAAAACAATATTATTATGCTGTTTTATTCAACTCATTATAGTTGCTTTATTTTGATATAAAATAAGGTTTTTTTAGTGTTTTATGTCTTGTATGGCATATAACAGGAAGGTGCCTGGGTAGGCAGGTGGTTTAACATGTCAGCACAATATTCTGTCCATATAGTACTAATTTAAATTTTAGATATAAAATTTAGAAATGATCAAAAGTTCTAACTTAAAGATAAGAGTGCAAACAAAATCTTTAATTAGAAAATTCACCATGGTGACTTTGGTCTAATGGGCTCTGGTGGCTTACATTAACAGATCACTTACTCTCACCTGTCCACATGAATTCAAGTCTCAGCTCAACCAGCTGGGTATGTGAGAAAGCTTACCTGTAGCTTCTCCATGGTCTCTTGGTTCTTCATATGGTCTTTCCAGGCTCTTCTTCCACCAGATATGCTAAACACCATGCTTATTCCATCATGTGCTGAAATATGGCATTAAACCCCACAAAACAAAACCAGACCACTTCAGTCTGATGTTTTTGCATCCTATTTACAATGGATACTGCAAACTGGTAAAAGTGGACATGACCTAATAATTATATTAATTGATAACACTCTGGTTGTCTGTTCAAACAGGTCTTGTTGGAATGTTTGAAAACAAATTTCCATTGATATCAGTGTTTATTTAGATATGATGAAAATAAATAAATAAAGTAGCATGTAATTTTATATCTTTCAGATGAAACCCAATCTAAATGAGGCTACATATAATACTGCTTCTATTTCTGCAGGCAGTGAATCTGTAAGTACTTTTTTTTTCATTTTTGCATTTTGTTATCCCATCATTAATTACAGTCAGGGTATTTTGACTTGGTCATGTTTATGCATCTGTTAAGTCTCATTCATGAGTCATCCTCTCTGCATATATCCATTTATTCTGCACAGTGCAGTCATTGTTAACCTAAACTCCATCTCATGATCTGGATACAGTCCCTTAGGAGAAGGGTGTGGAGGTTAAAGGTCTATCATTTATATCCAATATTAATTCTTCCTTGTAACTGGAGTAAATTTACAGAGGATGTTCATATTTGGTATAATGTTACAAGAGGACAAGTATCTGAAAATATGGATTTTAATCTTAAAAAGCAGCTCACTTAGTGGATAGAGAGGCCAATGTGGTATGTAAACAAAACCAACAAAAAAACCTGGATATTTGCAATGGGTTCTATCTAGTTCTTAGCTGATCAGGCCAACATGCATTTGGTATAATCCTATAGCCTTCATGCATACTTCTAATTCACTGCTCTAATGGTGTTAGAGAGTCTGTCTTGGAGACAGGAGGTTGTGGGTTTGAACCCTGGCAATGTCATACCAAAGACTAATAAAAATGGTACTAGCAGCTGCCTCACTTGGCACTCATCAAGAGGTTTGTGTTAGGACTAGTTGACCTGGTGTCAGGATAATGTTACTTGGTGGGACATCATGCTACATGTCTGTGGCATGATGCCCCAATGATAGACTTCACTATAAACTGTCACACTGTAGACACAGTAGCAAAATGACTCAAAATCTTTTAAAGCTGCATTAAAAATCCAAATCACACACACTCATGCATCTTTCATACATAGATAAACAATTATTATTGTCCACTCCTCATAAACCACAGGACCAATTTTAATGAAACTTGGCACAGAACAAAGTTTTGGCAAAAGTCCTTGATATTTGTATAAATGGTGCTGATTTGTCATCAGACATGCCACCATTACTAAAAATACAAAACATTTTAAAGAAGTTATTCTCAAAATCTATTAGAGGGAATACATGACCAAATTAAAATATAAAAAAGATATAAAGGCCTTTCAGTTTCAAATGATTCTGATTAAACTATGAACATGATTATCTTTGCTAAAAGTCTCAAAAGCTGTTCAACTGAATTTGACAAAATTTTAAAGAAATCATTCTGGCATTAAAGCTTGGTATTAATTTGTTAATCTCTGGTTGGATGTACAAACATGTCCTTTTGGAATGTTTGAAAACCATTTTTCCATTGATATTGGTATTTATTTAGATATAATGACAAACTCTTTACAGAACATTCTCTATAAAGTAACAGAATAAAGTTAGATCAAATTGGACAGAAGTTTAATCATCAAAAGACTGTAAAATTTATAGAAATTATGGTGATTGAGTGCCAGATATGACTACCATTGCTAAAAATACAAGTCATTATATATTTGTTCCACAAGGTACCAGACAGAATTTAAACATTTATCAGAAGGCATCTTAGCATGAAGACCATCATAGTTTGCACAAGTATGGCATTTCTCTGGCTGTCATGAGTTAAAAGTTAATCATTTTTAGATTAAAAATTTAGAAATGATCAAAAGTTCATACATGAAGATAAAGCTGCAAACAAAATCTTTAATTATACAATGGGCCATGAAGATAAAGCTGCAAACAAGATCTTTAATTAGACATTGGGCCAGGGTGACTTTGATTTGAGAAGCCCTGATGACAGAATGGTCTAAGGCACTCACCTTTACAGATCACACCACATACCTCTGTCCACTTGAGTTTAAGTCTCAGCTCAACCAACTGGATATGTAAGAAAGTCTGCCAGTAGCTCCTCCATGGGCTACAATTTCTTCCCATGGTCTTCCTGGATTTTTCCTCCATCAAATATACTGTCTGCCATCATGATAGTACTGTAAAATGGAAATAAACCTCACCAAACCAAACCAGACCACTTCAGTCTGAATATATTTTTTGCATCATAATATTTACAATAGTTGTTGCACACTGGAAAAAGTAGAGATGCACTATGTATTAATGTGTTAACCTCTGGTTGGATGTACAAACATGTCTTTTTGGAATGTTTGAAAACTATTTTTCCATTGATATTGGTATTTATTTAGATATGATGAAAACAAATAATGAAGTAGGATGTAATTGTATATCTTTCAGAGGAAATCCAGTCAAAATGAGCCTACATATAATACTGGTTCTATGTCTTCAGGCAGTGAATCTGTAAGTCTTTTTTTTTTTAATTTTCACATTTTGTTATCCCATCTTTACCTACATCAAAGGCTATTTTGATTTTATCTTTTTTATACATCTGCAAGTGGTATGTTCATTAGTCAGTTATCATTGAAGCATCTATCCATCTATCCTTCACAATGTTGTCATTGTTAAGCTAACCTAAACTCCATCTCATGATCAAGATGCAGACCATCAGTAGAAGGGTGTGGAGGTCTAAGGTCAGTCATTTACATGTAATATGGACTCTTTCTTGTAACTAGAGCTAATTTACAGAGGATGTTTATATTTGGTATACTGTTATAGTAGGACAAGTATATAAAAACATGAATTTTTAATCTTGAAATGCATCTCACTTGTTGGAGAGGCCAATGTGGTAATGTCAAGAAAACCAACAAAAAAACCTGGATATTTGCAATGGGTTCTATCTAATTTTAGTAGCTGATCAGATGATAAGGCCATGTATTCATATGGTATAATTCTATATCCTTCATGCATCCTCCTTCACCACTCCCATGGCCTAGTGGTAAGAGTGTTTGCCTTGGATGCAGGATGTTGCAGGTTCAAACCCTGGCCTTGTCATACCAAAGAATTATAAAAATGGTACTAGCAGCTGTCTTGCTTGGGGCTCAGCATTAAGAGGTTAGTGTTAGGACTGGTTGGCTTGGTGTCAGGATAATCTGACTGGGTGAACATTATGCTACATGTTTGTGGCATGATGCCCCAGTGGTAGACACCACTGTTAACTGTCATGTTGCAGACATTGTAGCAATATGACTGAAAATTTTTTAAAGCTATGTTAAAAATCCAAATCACACACACTTGTGCATCCATCATACAGCCATCAACAATTGCTAGGTGTTCCACAAGGATCAGTTTTTAGACCATTACAATATCTGCTATACATCAGTGATTTACCATATCACACTGAGCTATCCACCACCAACATGTTCACAGATGATACAACATTATATAATTCCGGATCAACAGGCCATGAGATTAGTACTAAATTAAATAAAGATTTGGTAGAAATAAATAACTGTTGTGAACACAATGGTATGAAGATAAATGCAGCAAAATCAAAAGCCATGATCATTGGTAGTTGAGCAAGAGTAAAAGCTGAGAAAAGTTATTTGAAAGTAATGATAAAAAGAATGGATATACAACAGTTTGAAAATGAAAAAAATACTAGGAATAATGATAGGCCAGATCTCGTGCTGGAAAATGCAAGTTGATAAAGTCATTAAAAAAGTTAATTCACTGCTTTTGTTCATGAATATAATAAAATGTTATCTCCCTCAAGAACAGAGAAAGATATACAATGCATATATCATACCACATCTGGAATATCATTGTTCTGTCTCAGGTAATAGTGGCACAGAAAATCAGGAAAGATGACTGAAATGTCAGATAAGAGCAGCTTGAGTTATTCTTGATGCTGATTTAAATGCACCACCAACAAATCTTATATATAGTTGGCTGACACATGCCCAGCTTTTAAAAAAACTTCTTAGTCAACATCTACAGAAACTGTAATTTGTACGATTTTGTTTAATTCAGTACTACTCCTTTATACAGCAGTTATCATGTACTCACCTATGTTTTATATATGTTCACCGCTACTGTTTGTATGAATCCTGTATGTACTCATCCTTGAAGCCTTGTACATATTTTATTGTAGCAGTAGATTAATTGTCGGACTTAAAACAGCATTTGTTGTCTCAAGACACCTTATCTTGTGAAAACTGTGCATTTTATATATATATATATATATATATATATATATATATATATATATATATATATATATATATATATGTCATTGTAAAAGGCCTCATGGAAGATTGGTCAGTTGATCAAATGAGCTTCTTCTTTAAGTCATTGTTATTAATATTATTATTGTCAACTCATAAACTACTGGACCAGTTTTACTCAAACTTGGTACAGAACATTTTCTTTGGTATGAAAGTCATTGAGATTTGTATAAATGGTGCCGATTTGTCATCAGACATGCCACTTTTACAATTTTCTTTTCAAAATCTGCTGAACAGTATACATGACCAAATTTTTAAAAAACAAACAATATAATGGCCTTTCAGTTTCCGATGATTCTGATTAAATTACAAACATAATTATCTTTGCTAAAAGTATAAAAACTTTTAAATGACTTGGTCTCAAAAGCTGTTCAATTGAATTTGACAAAGTTTTAAAGAAAACATTCTGGCATTAAGGCTTGGTGTATTGGCACAAATGAGTCTAATGCACTATCAAATATGGCACCCATTACTTAAACTAACAAACTCTTTACAGAACATTCTCTATAAAGTAACAGAATAAAGTTAGATCAAATTGGACAGAAGTTTAATCATCAAAAGACTGTAAAATTTATAGAAATTATGGTGATTGAGTGCCAGATATGACTACCATTGCTAAAAATACAAGTCATTATATATTTGTTCCACAAGGTACCAGACAGAATTTAAACATTTATCAGAAGGCATCTTAGCATGAAGACCATCATAGTTTGCACAAGTATGGCATTTCTCTGGCTGTCATGAGTTAAAAGTTAATCATTTTTAGATTAAAAATTTAGAAATGATCAAAAGTTCATACATGAAGATAAAGCTGCAAACAAGATCTTTAATTAGACATTGGGCCAGGGTGACTTTGATTTGAGAAGCCCTGATGACAGAATGGTCTAAGGCACTCACCTTTACAGATCACACCACATACCTCTGTCCACTTGAGTTTAAGTCTCAGCTCAACCAACTGGATATGTAAGAAAGTCTGCCAGTAGCTCCTCCATGTGCTGGCAGTTTTTCCGCCACCAAATATACTGTCTGCCATCATGACAGTGCTGTAAAATGGAAATAAACCTCACTAAACCAAACCAGACCACTTCTTCAGTCTGAATATATTTTTTGCATCATAATATTTACAATAGTTATTGCACACTGGTAAAAGTAGAGGTGCACTATGTATTAATGTGTTAACCTCTGGTTGGATGTACAAACATGTATTTTTGGAATGTTTGAAAACTATTTTTCCATTGATATTGGTATTTATTTAGATATGATGAAAACAAATTAATGAAGTAGGATGTAATTGTATATCTTTCAGAGGAAATCCAGTCAAAATGAGCCTACATATAATACTGGTTCTATGTCTTCAGGCAGTGAATCTGTAAGTCTTTTTTTTTTAATTTTCACATTTTGTTAATCCATCTTTACCTACATCGAAGGCTATTTTGATTTTATCTTGTTTATACATCTGCAAGTGGTATGTTCATTAGTCAGTTATCATTGAAGCATCTATCCATCTATCCTTCACAATGTTGTCATTGTTAAGCTAACCTAAACTCCATCTCATGATCAAGATGCAGACCCTCAGTAGAAGGGTGTGGAGGTCTAAGGTCAGTCATTTACATGTAATATGGACTCTTTCTTGTAACTAGAGCTGATTTACAGAGGATGTTTATATTTGGTATATTGTTATAGTAGGACAAGTATATAAAAACATGAATTTTTAATCTTGAAATGTATCTCACTTGTTGGAGAGGCCAATATGGTAATGTCAAGAAAACCAACAAAAAACCTGGATATTTGCAATGGGTTCTATCTAGTTCTTAGCTGATCAGGCCAACATGCATTTGGTATAATCCTATAGCCTTCATGCATACTTCTAATTCACTGCTCTAATGGTGTTAGAGAGTCTGTCTTGGAGACAGGAGGTTGTGGGTTGAACCCTGGCAATGTCATACCAAAGACTAATAAAAATGGTACTAGCAGCTGCCTCACTTGGCACTCATCAAGAGGTTAGTATTAGGACTGGTCGGCCTGGTGTCAGGATAATGTTACCTGGTGGAACATCATGCTACATGTCTGTGGCATGATGCCCCAATGATCGACATCACTATAAACTGTCACACTGTTGACATAGTAACAAAATGACTCAAAATCTTTTAAAGCTGCATTAAAAATCCAAATCACACACACTCATGCATCCTTCATACATACATCAATAATTATTATTGTCCACTCCTCATAAACCACAGGACCAATTTTAATGAAACTTGGCACAGAACAAAGTTTTGGCATAAAAGTCCTTGATATTTGTATAAATGGTGCTGATTGGTCATCAGACATGCTACCATTACTAAAAATACAAAACATTTTAAAGAAGTTATTCTCGAAATCTATTAGACAGAATATATGACCAAATTAAAATATTAAAAAGATATAATGGCCTTTCAGTTTCAAATGATTCTGATTAAACTATGAACATGATTATCTTTGCTAAAAGTCTCAAAAGCTGTTCAACTGAATTTGACAAAATTTTAAAGAAATCATTCTGGCATTAAAGCTTGGTGTATTGGCACAAATGAATCTAATGCACTATCAAATATGGCACCCATTACTTAAACTAACAAACTCTTTACAGAACATTCTCTATAAAGTAACAGAATAAAGGTAGATCAAATTGGACAGAAGTTTAATCATCAAAAGACTGTAAAATTTATAGAAATTATGGTGATTGAGTGCCAGATATGACTACCATTGCTAAAAATACAAGTCATTATATATTTGTTCCACAAGGTACCAGACAGAATTTAAACATTTATCAGAAGGCATCTTAGCATGAAGACCATCATAGTTTGCACAAGTATGGCATTTCTCTGGCTGTCATGAGTTGAAAGTTAATCATTTTTAGATTAAAAATTTAGAAATGATCAAAAGTTCATACATGAAGATAAAGCTGCAAACAAGATCTTTAATTAGACATTGGGCCAGGGTGACTTTGATTTGAGAAGCCCTGATGACAGAATGGTCTAAGGCACTCACCTTTACAGATCACACCAGATACCTCTGTCCACTTGAGTTTAAGTCTCAGCTCAACCAACTGGATATGTAAGAAAGTCTGCCAGTAGCTCCTCCATGGGCTACAATTTCTTCCCATGGTCTCCCTGGATTTTTCCTCCACCAAATATACTGTCTGCCATCATGACAGTGCTGTAAAATGGAAATAAACCTCACTAAACCAAACCAGACCACTTCTTCAGTCTGAATATATTTTTTGCATCATAATATTTACAATAGTTATTGCACACTGGTAAAAGTAGAGGTGCACTATGTATTAATGTGTTAACCTCTGGTTGGATGTACAAACATGTATTTTTGGAATGTTTGAAAACTATTTTTTAATTGATATTGGTATTTATTTAGATATGATGAAAACAAATTAATGAAGTAGGATGTAATTGTATATCTTTCAGAGGAAATCCAGTCAAAATGAGCCTACATACAATACTGGTTCTATGTCTTCAGGCAGTGAATCTGTAAGTCTTTTTTTTTAATTTTCACATTTTGTTATCCCCTTTACTTACAGAGAAGGCTATTTTGATTTTATCTTGTTTATACATCTGCAGGTTGGTATGTTCATTAATCAGTTATCATTTAAACATCTATCCATCTATCCTTCACAATGTTGTCATTGTTAAGCTAACCTAAACTCCATCTCATGATCAAAATAAGATGCAGACCCTCAGGACTGGAGCTGATTTACAGAGAATGTTCATATTTGGTATAAAGTTACAGGAAAACAAGAGAATATAAACATGGATTTTTAATCTTGAAATGCAGCTCGCTTAGACTAGAGAGAGGCAAATGTGGTTATGTAAACAAAACCAACAGAAAACCTGTCTCATGTGCCTGTTATTATCATCCCAGGGTATTGTTGACACCCTGCCTTTATTTTATAATTCATTTACCATACTGAGAATTATTTCATTCTTTGTATAGGCCCCAGGTGGTCCAGTGGTCTAAAACACTTGTCTTTACTGAACAGTGCCATCATACCTCTGTTTGTGTATGTTAGAGTCTCAGGTTAGGCCTATAATAATTAAAAATGTTGAGATTTATTGTAAGTATGTGAGTAAGCTTATTACTAGCTTCCCATGGGTCAGTGATTCTTAACAGTGTTTTTTTTTTAGTTCTTCCCCTACCAGTTACACTGACAACAATGTTTAGCATATTGTATGCTGAAAAATAGTGCTAAATGCAAAACAGCAAGAGCAACATTTACTACCTTTGTTGGTACTTAAGTATATCATACCTTTTCTTCTGTCAGAGTGTTTTGACTTTACTTTTATTTAAATATTGCTGGGTTTCTTCTTTATTCAATAGCCTTTTGTTTAGATATAATTAGATGTGCTCTTTAGAAACAAATGAAAATGATGCTCACCTTAACAAATCACTCACATCTCATATCTGTCCAAATGGGTTCAAGTCTACTTGGGTTGGCTAGTTTGGGAATGTGTAATAGCTTGCTGGTATCTTCTTGTGGGTTGCTGATTATTCATTGGTTTGCTGTTTTTTCATTGGGTTTTCCTTGATACTTCCTTCACCAGATATACCAGCTGCTATTTATAGCATAATGTGATAAAAATGGCATTAAACACTCAGCAACAACAACTATTACTTGAAAATTAAATATTTTCTAATAATGTTGATCAAATTTATTTTTTATTGATTTAGAATATTTTGAAATAGTTATTAAGGCAGAAAGAATTCAAGCTACGAAACACTCTAGATCCAAAGTCGATGATGCTAATTAAGGGGAAAATTATTTGCGATTGGTGCAGTAAGATGTCATATTTTTTTCCAGCTGTTCCTCTGTGAATGCTGTGACTGATGTTCTTCTCATTTTGAAGAAAAACAATGCCCAGTTTCTACAATCAATGGCTACATGGCAGCCGTTTCCATACCAAAAACTTACAAAAATGGTGCTAGCAGTTGCCTCACTTGGCAATCAGCATTAAGAGGTTAACATTAGGACATAGTCAGCCTGGTATTAGGATAATATGGATGGTTGGGATATGATGCCCCAGTGCTAGACATCACTATAAACTGCCACACTGCAGACATTATAGTGATATGACTAAAATTGTTATAGCTATGTTAAAAAATTTAGATGACACTCACACTTGCATCAACTTTCATTCATGAAGGTTAAAGCTCATGAGGTTTGTGCCATTGCTACCTCATGTGCATGTCTAACTTATTTGTCATTGGAGAATGTGATGAATGCTGCAATGTATCCTTGTCACATTACTTTCTCCTTTTACCTTCATTCGTTAGTGTATCAAAAATAAATCTTTTGTTTTTCCTTGAGTCCATTTGTTGTGGCAAATTATGTAGCCAAATTGAATGTAGTAGTTGACACTTCTACTATAAGGATGAATATTATTTGTTCCAGTTTAAGGGGTGACATCAGCTTCCCACTGAACTGGCAAATTCAGATATGCAAAATTAACATAACCATATTGCTGAAACTAAAATGGGTGAGGGTAAAATTAATTTGAAGGTTTCACTACTTACCTGTTGCTATTGCTATATTTTGTCCTTCCACCTTGCACTGGTGTCACACCAATGGTGATTGCTCTTAAAAGAAGATATCAATAGTTATGAATTTACTGTGACTTTCTGGAATCTCCTCTGGAAGTCACCCTATGGGTTGAATTCTCATAGTATGGGCACGACTAACTACCAATGCAGACAAGTAAAGCAGTGCAATAGCAACAAATAGGTATTGCAACATTAAAGTAAATTTTATCTGCTGCCCCACAACTACATTTTGTAAGAATATGAAATGTTTAATAGCTTCATGATACCATAAGTAGTGTTGAAGTATTGGAGATCTAACCCTAACCTGAACTTTTACTTGACTAAAATATTTTTCTACAAAAATCTAGAAAAGGTTTTTTTCAAAGAGACAAGGTGACATTCAACTTTGATAAAACTTTTTGTTCACAGATGACAAGTGGTATTTATGTGACTTGTCCCCTAAGTCTCCAGCATGTGTTAGGAGCTCTACTGAAAGTACCCAAGGACCCAGTACTCTTATGTTTATTACAAAGAGTAGCATGATGCCACTTATTCAGTAAATGTTGAACTTTAAATAGTTTGGGAGTTTTGTCCTAGAAACTACATTGTGAATTAATAATGGGCAGGAAAACAAACAAATGAAAACATTTAAAAAGATTAAACCTTCTTGAAGAATTATGAATCACAAAAGGCACATCTATATCAGTAGTCTAATATATATGCCAGATTTTATATGGAAGTCATTAATATTTTCTGACTAATGCTCCAGAAATGAAAATTTAAAGGTAGGATTGATGAATAGATAAATAAACAATTTAATGAAAATGTTAAAAAGTATTGAAACTGGAGTTTTACCCTAGAAATGATGATAATGATTATTTAGTTGATAGATAATGGATACAAATAAGTTATATTTAAACTGAAAAATATTGAATAATAAAGGCACACTCCACAAGTCCAATATGTATAATTAGCCTGAACTGTTTGAGAATAATAGAAGGAAAACAAGTGTTTTTGTTTGTTTTAACAGTAATTTTAACATGTTTCTAGCTATCATACAGATGAAAGGGGGTACTAAGTGCCTTTCTGAAGCAAACACAAAGGCAGCTGACACTAGCTAGCCTGGATGGGTATTGAACCCACTACTCTTAGGTTTCAAGTCTGATGCTCTACCAACTAAACTACAAAATATCTGAACATGACAAACGTGCTTTACAGCTAATACAATTATTGCTCAGTAACTTAAAATACAAATAGATGAGGTTATTAGAGATAATAGGATTCATTCTGAGATAATGTACTCCATTATTACATTCAATAAGAATGAAAAGCCAATGCTGAAAATATCAGAATGAAACTTAACAGTAAAATGCACAGAAAGTTCACAAAAAAAAATAAATTGTAAAGAAAATGCAGTGAGTAATATTTGGGGAACTTGACCCTCTTATTGAAGATAAGAGTTTAGTCTAAGTCAAATTAGTGACAGTATTTAAGATAAAAATTTTGAATGACCTCATGTGTCTGATTGCATCTTTTTTATTTCAGCTTTTTAAGAAGACATTATACCTGTTCTTGCCTGACAATGCTGAAGATATTCAGGAAGTATTCCTGACCAGCCAAGCCTTGACAGAATTACATAGAATACGTCTTCTTCATGTGTCAGAATTTGACCATCTTTGGGAACTCAGTTATACATTTCACCCAAGTGTCTTGGATAATAAAATTACATGCCAGTTTGGTTTCCAGACAAAAGGAAAATCCAAAACATCACCAGGAAAAGAAAACATGGACAGAGAATTTATCATTTCTGGTTCAAGTGTTCAGAGGTTAATGTGGGATAAAATAACATATCATGGGTTTTTAACTCATATGAAACACATATTGCAAACCTATTCCCAGGATGTTAAAGACAGTTTTATGCAGGTGGAAGAACTTGCAGATGTACAATTTGATATCAAAGACAAGGAGAAAGTTATTCAAGATATACAAGAGGAATTGTCTGACACCCATAGGGTGCTAATATTTGCAGTTATGATAGCTAAATTCTCAACGCACACTAACATTGAAAGGTTCCTTGATAAACTGAATAAAGCTACGTTTGGAAAGTTGTTCAATGTTATATGCTCATTTACAGAAATTGGTGATATCCCATCAACAAGCATGAAATTTCTGAGATGGTTGTCATACTGGGTGATCAAAAGGTTTTACAATGAGAAGTTCTGTCTTGTACTGTGGATGAAACATATGTTTCCTTTTGATTGTGAAGCCAATTTTCTGTCCAGAGTCAAAATGCTTCCAATATGTCATAATGATGAATCAGCTGATCTCTTAATTGGACTTTGTGAACAAATTAGAGAGAGGATTCTTGGAAAGGAATCACAAAAAGGTGAAGATCTCCTTCTTGCCATATTTAATAAAGTGCATCTGTTCATTGGTCTAAAGGTATATCATCATGTTTTTGATGGTGTAGATTTGTCAGGATTTGAGAAGAAACTGAAAAAGATCTTGTCATCAAGAACTAAAGTAGAGGCATTAGATTGTTTAAGCAGGAATGCAATCTGTGAGCTTAAGGATATGTGGAGTGATATCAGAAAGGAAAAGTTTGACAGTGAATTCAGACCGACATTTGAGAGCTATGTACTTAGACTGGTGCATAAAGCAGTTGAGCTCCACTGCTCTGAAAAAACCTTAAATCAAGACTGGTGTACTCTTTGTGAGGATGAAGTATTGTTTGTTAACAGTGAAAATCAACAAACCCTGCTAAAGAAAATTTCTACATCTGATCAGAAAGAAATGCATAACTATTTAATCAAACTGGCAGATATGAAAAAATTCAAGAAATCATTTAATTTTGATCTTGTACAGATTTGGTTTCACACTGCTATTAATAGGCATTATAAGCCTGAAGACAACCTGGTGCATTTGTATTATTGCTACTTATGTGATGCACTAATGCTTCTTTCACTAAGAACTCCAGAAGAAGAAGAGAAATTAAAAAATACACTTTTCACCCAAAAATTACAATTCAGGATTAAGCCGTCAGACCTGTTGAAAAGAAGGGATCAAATTATAAAAGAATCAAGAAATCCAGGACTTATTTCAAAAATTCTGAATGATCATGTCAAGAGTCTGTTGAAGGAAAAGCATGGATCAGAAAATCCAAATGACATTATTCATAATGTGTGCGAGAAAGGTCAAGTATGAGATGAGTAAGTATCATTTGCTTTCTTTGCATCTGCCAAAAGGCATAATGTTGTTACAGTGTTATCCATCCATCTGTTCCATGTTTCATTGATGTACTGTGACTTGAGAACCAGAAGTGACATCTTGTTTTCAAAATTAGGAAATGTGAATGCAGGAGAAATCTTGGAGATTTGGTAAAGAGAAGTTTGGAACACTGCTCCAGAAAAAGAACATCACAGAAAAAATATGGAAATATTATGGTAGCGAATATTTTGTTTACTACATTTTGAGCATTGTCTTTGAAAACAACCCACTCCCTCAGCAATGTGAAAAGACTCCACCAGCCTCATAAAGTTGGTATGTGCGCTTGAAACAAACATTCTATCACCCACCATTGAACAGAATTAGATGTAAAATTATGTATGTATGTGACCTGCCCAAATTTGTATGTATTTGAATTATTATTTTTTAAAAATTATTTTACTCTTTAAAACTTGTATTGTTCATTATTGACTAAGCTGGCATGATGATACAAATATTTCTTTATTGTGCCAAATATATGAATATGGTCAGATTATAATATGACTCACAAGTAGGCATTCAGTGCTCATTATTTCATTAATGGGTGTCATTTTTTAAAATTTGATTATACATATGTTTAAGTGTCAAGTATTCACTTCATTTGGATTTGTTTACATTCATATTACTTTAGAAGGTAATTATTTAGATGCCAAGATAGGTACGTATGGCAAAATCAATGTTAAAGTACATAGACATTTTTTGAGGTAATGAATCTAAAGGTATAATCCAGTACAATCCAGATTAAATGTCGCCCGCTGTGATGTCACAATGATAGCTGCACATATTGATAAACATTTGTAATACCTTCAACTGTGATGATTCCAATTGATGCACTTTTATGTTAACCCAAGTTTAGTACATAGCCACCATTGTAAAAGCCCATAGTGATAGATAATTTTTGTCTGGAAGTCTCTTGGTGACAGATAAGGTGTAGATCCTAAAATAATCAGGACTGAATAGACTTTGGTTACAGAAAATTAGTGTTAAATTTTAAAAGAACAATTTGTATTTAATTTAAAATGAGTAAATGCACATGTATGACCCATGTGACTTGTACTATAGATCTGTATATGTGTGGATTTTTTTTTTTGTTAATACAAAATGTTTAGATTCATCTGCATGCATGATTATATGTATGAGCTTAAGGTAATATCCTGCATATGCTCTCTCTCTTCAGAATTTACTTGCTACCACACTTGAGACATTATTTCTAAACTGGAATTTGAACTTGTTTCTTTAAGATCTCAGATGAACTCTATAATGTGCAAGATCCATGCATATAAAATAAGTAATCTTGCATCTGATTGCTTGAGCATGCCATATTTTAAATTTACTCACCTCTTTGAATCTGACATTTCTTCTTACTTGTTAAGTAAGTTTATATCATAGTAGTCTTAGGTTCACATGTTATTGAGGTGATTTCTTCAGTTTAGCTGATTGTTTGTAAAGCTGAGAATATTTATCAAATTAAGATAGTTAAATATGTATAATATAAATGTTAGGTGACAGTTTGCTTACCATTTTGTTATTACAGTACTACAAAAATCTGCTTAGTAAAATGGTCCAGTGTTATGTAACTAATGTGAGAAATATCAGACTTACCTGTCTCTCATGTTATTTGTTGGACTTTGTAGTACAATCTTTATTTGATAATTGTGCAAAGAAAATAATCTAATTATGTTATTTTTTGTACGCAATATATATGAATCACAAAACGGTTTTCACTGTTTGAATACTTTTTAACAAGCTATTCTGTCTTATTAGAGTTGTCATAAATACATTTCTCAAACTATATGATTTTTGGATTTTTAAAAATAGGTTTGTTAGATGTTATTCATTTAATGAAACCTTGTGACACTGATTATGTGGAAATAAGCCTATGCTAATTAAAATGTACAATTCTTGTTTCTATGCATGTAGAGATAACCTGATTACGACTTCATTTAAATGTTTTATGACTTCTTCACAAATTTTCAAATATTCTGGTCTTAGTCTTTTTCGTTCTGCAGTACCAGTTATAAAAACTTAAACCAAGTTGCCAATTTTAAAATCATGAAACAAGTGGACAAATTTAACATCAAAATAAATTTAAAAAATTGAAACATTACAGAATTTATTTAGAACAAAAATATAATAAGTTAGAAATTGTCCTTTTTCTGAACAAATGACTGTATACCCTTAATTAAACTTTGTAGATAGCTTTCATTTTGTGCAAGAATAAAGCTTATTTACTTGGGCATCTTAGTGTCAAAGGTCAAAGTCACTGTGCTTGAAAGAAATTAAATGTTCTTTGCATAATAACTTTGGTTACAGACCACATATTTTGAGCATGTTTGTTAAGTTTGTACTTATGGTGTGAAAGGGGCGTAATGATTTGGGAGTCAAAAGTCAAAGATCAATGTACACATGACTTGAAAAATGGGTTTTACATTATAAGCTTTTGTTCAGGAATAAGCTTCATGACCAAGCATTAAGGATGGCTTGCACTAAGAATAATAAGAAACATAAAAGTTTGAGGTTTAAAAATCACAGTCCTGGTAAGTTTGATTGGAAAGTTTATCGTTTTAATATTAGTGACATAAAATTCTAACAAAATTACCAGTGGGCATAATTATTTTTTGGTTTCTTAGTATTTAACACAAATTGTATGAGCTTGTGTTGATAGGGAAGAAAATAGGTGTGGTCACTTAGTTGCAGGAGATTATTAAAAGGAAATTTAAGGTTCTTTTCTGACAGTGAGGGGTGTTCAAATAAAATTATAGACAAAACATTAGACAGTGTTTAATTTTTTTATATCCACTGGGTCATCTTCCACTTATTTGATATCTTTTGTACAATGGCTAATAATATTTCGCTCCAATGACAATTTTCAGAACCATTTGGCCAGGTTATCAATGGTCATTTTGTCATATACATGATCTTCTAAT